CGGCTGTTGTGCGTCATTGTCCGCATATTGACAACATTAGCTTTAAGACATCTACATCGCAAGGACTTCCCTTTATCAGAGATATAACAACCCATATAAATGTGATAAATATTAAAATATCGCTTAATTATGTTACATACTAGGCAGAAAATACATTTACTATGCAAGGAAGTCCAATAGTAAAAATATACTTAAACCTTTCTTAGATCTTATTTATGGCATTTGTTGCATAGAAAATGTGAACCCTACAACGATACCATTAGTGAAATAATTTAAACACTATGAACATTTTCCTCATAAAATGACGTACTCTGGATTTTTAATTTAACTGAAAGTTGTTTTAAATATCAATCTAACGTCAAGGTTTAGAGATAAAATGGATGCTATTGTGTAGCATTAAGTTTATCATGTAAATAGAATTAATAATTCCTAGGAAAGTCTTTTACCATTCGCTCAATACATTCTAGTAAGCGAAAATAAAAAGTTATCTTGAATCATGCACTTTTTATCGAAAATGTAAATCTGCAAATGCTTTTCAAAATGTTCATCAATGGTATTTGTGGGACTCAATAAAGCACGACCATGCATTCTTAACATGATAATTTATATTACGTACTCTTCTTGCTTATTAATGTATCAACATTTATTTCGATTTACCTTTGAAAATGAAACCTGCACTGGCCATCATTTCAGCAGTTGGATTTGTATGTGGCCAATCTACACGTTCGAAGAAGGTTGCAAGACGCATATTAACATCCTTAAACTTATCATTTGTGGTACGACGGTTGAATGGTTCAAGTCGTTTAGTGTAGATGTTGCATGTATCACTGGACTGTGTTGGCATTTCGCCACGGGGCGCCAAACGATAACCATTCCTTTCGAATAAAAGTGTTGTTTCTGTAGAGGATCCGGATAAGGCAAGTGTCCCGTTTCCGTTAATGCATGTTTCTTCGTTTGCATACGGTCCATTCCTCTGCTGTCTTATATTCTCGTTTGCCATAACTACAGGTCGTTTTTGTTCAGTGTATGCTGCCAACGCATAGTAATCAAAGTAAGGTCTTTGTCGCATTGATACCACTGCCTTTGGTTTTCCTGACGGTGCAATTGCTTCTGGTGAGCCGTAAAGGCTATTTTCTTCTTCTCCAGAATCTGACCCAGAACCTAAGTCATTTTTATTTTGAGAACATTGATACTGCTCGAAACCTAGATCCTGTCTATTGCTGAAACTTAATGTATACCGCTCTTGAGACCTCTCAGGTGGATAACACACATTATATGTTTTTTCTGAGAAAGCAACGTATCTCAATGGCTCGCACGTTTCCTCTTCTTTAATTTCTTTAATATATAGAAGACTTGCGTTGTCTGTTTCAACACATTCAGGTAAATCTTTATTTGTCGATGCCATATTTAATTGTTGCCTCTGTAAATATAAACGTATCATTTAGATTTGGTAACGCATTAAGTATTTTCAGAAATACGAGGGTTGTTCAAAAAGTAATAGGACTGCAGTTCTACTGTTCACATTTTTTAATTTACGTGCACAATTTTACAAGATAATAATATCGGAACATATCCTCTATATACAGTGGAAAAATCAATAAAATATGTTTAAAAATAACGAGTCTGTGAAAATTTCAAATGACAAGGGGTACGCAACCCGGCGCACGCTAACAGCACAATAGATGACGTTTATATGACGTCGTAAAATAAAAACAAAATGTATCAAGCGTCATCCCTTTTGAAAGAATTCTCCTTAGTGTTCTATGTGTCTAAATCATGTAACTTTGACCACACCTCATATGTGGAGATGAAGGGAGAAAGAAAACGATCACATTCTTGTTCCACTCTCTGATAAAAAAAGCCCGATAGCCGGCCACTCTCCGCGTTTTCTCGTATTCTTGTTTCTTATAGTTATCAATATAGATTAAACAGGCATGAACTTATGATGTTAATGAAATAGCAATTAATAGAGTTATTTTACATATATCATCGTACTTTCTTAAAACAATATGATTATGTAAATACTGAAAAGTATATTTTTCTACCAGGAACAGCGTATCATTTTTAAAAGAAAATCAGGGAAAATATTAATAATTACCGTTAATCATTATTACATTAATTTATTGATAACACATATATCTAGTTAAAAGAAATAAAATTTTGTTTGAAACAAAATTAATCATGTGGGCAGAACTGAATCAATAGACCCAATGCAGAAATCAAACATGCCGGACAGTTCGTGGACAGTTTACCGTCGATCATTTTTGTCGACATTTATTCGAATAAAAATGATAGTTTTAAGTCGAAATAATATATGAATAATATCATAATACTTGATGTAATAAATATGCTTGCTGTTTGATACTTTTGGTAAAAAAGCAAACTGGATAAGGAAAACACACTTAAATCTGTTTATAACTTTTAACTTTCAAATTAAAACTCTGCTGGCGTTCCATTTCTTAAGACAATCAATACGTAGGAGGAGGAAGAATGATTGCTTATATGTATTTACAATATAAAGTAAATTTTCGTAAAGATTTTTTTTGCTCTTAAAAAAATATATTGTTAAAGCTTATAACGTTTATCTAAGTTTAACAACACATTTCATGTTATTTACTTTTTAATAATATGACTTGTATTATCCTTCTGTGTATAACCAACAAGGTTTATTTAACTTTAAACGCATTTAACCTTTTCCATTCGGATTTTACTTCCTTGTTCTACTTTTGAAGAATTTGTGAACAATCGATAACACAATTAAATTAAACATTTACAATATTTGACAAATATAAAAGCAAATGTACTTTACACATTATTCAGTACAAATTATTTAATAACATCTGAGAAATTCGTAGGCATTGAAAAAAGATAAAAATCATTTTTTTAGTTTGCCAAATATACACAAAACGGTACAAGTTTGTTTGCTTGTTTGTTTGTTTGATTATTTTTTCTTCACTTTCGATTTCGATTTCTTCAATACCAATGCCATCTAGTCATATTAACAAAATAAAAACATCGGGAAATAATTATTCATTCTAAGCTTCTCAACATGTGGTATTGGTTCCAGATAACAATAAAACTAGAAAAGACTTGTAATTTCCTACCTTCTTGTACTGTATCCAACCATGAGTATTATTACCTTACAAGTAAAGAGTATTTATAGACCCATGTCATGTGACCATTAGCTGTATTATCTTTGGCTGGCAATCAACGACGATTGAACATTATAGGTTAATCATAAAAATGGTTTATATTGATTCGCAGTTAAATTGCGACGGGGTACATGTTAATGAACATTCTCTTTCTTTATAGATAGTGTGTCTGTACTTAAAATATTAAAATTTAGCAAGTCACTGATCTATATCAAATACAGCTCTACTTTATTTGGAAAGGTATTCGTATTATAACATTTTATGTGTGTTCGGAGTGATAATCTGGAAGAAAATATGTTGAATCAATGAAATAAGAACGAAAATGCGCTGATATGATCATAAATCTTTTATATGTATACAAAAACCAATCTGTCTTATTTCCGGTTGTATAAATGTTAAAGAACACTGTTATAAACATTAATATATAAACATTTTAAGTAGAGCGTTATGCTTTTTGGATTCATATTTGGACACCAGAGTGCATGACACAGAACCATATACAAATTTACAATCAAACAAACGACTGTACTTTGAGGTCATAAAAATTAAATCAATACAAATGAATTTAGAGATATTTTAAAGTTATATCTTGCAATTTATTAAAAAACAAGAAATGAAGTAGGGGAAATGCATCCTATCGGATAATTTAAAATATATATCAGAGGGTATTTTATTTTGTTATACCGGTATCTAGGATTGAAATTTGAAATGAATTATAATTTTTTATATTCAATCATATGTCTCATAGAATAGAGGCCTTAAAGTAAGATATATAGATATGTTTGATGTGTATTTAGTGTAAAAATACATTTTCTTGAATGTTATACAGGACTATCTACTGGTTATACCGTTATAAGGAAAACATGTCCAACACTCCCCGTGTAAGACAAGTCGCGTGCTTTAAACGACATTTTAAAGCCTCGTTAGCGCCGAAAACATTTACCCTCAAGCTAGATATTCCGGTCTGTAGCGGTAGTCTGTGTAAAATTCTTTTACGAGATGGCAACCACAAATACATTTATTTAAAAGCATTCACTTATCAAGAGATCCTGTTCACTCCATGAAGATGTAATGCGTTTAACACTCAGATTTTAATGAGTTTCGACATTGTATACGTTGTCATTAAATAAGCGATGTCATTTGGATCACATATTTAGGAATACTGAACATTGTGCAATAGGCTTGAAAAGAAGTAACAGTTGTAGTCCTCATGTAATTTTACTATGATAAAATTTAATGTTATTCGTAACTAACTTGTTACAAGTAATTTAAGAATTGTTTGAAAATAGAATGCAAAATACGATATTTACTGCACTTCATTAGTCCATATCATATTCAATTAAACATATCAAGATATCTGGTTTTTTTCAGGATACATTACCATTTCAAAATATAAATTATAAAGACACAATTTTTGTGATATTAAAAGTTGTAAATTTAGTAGTCTGAAAGTAACATAATATTTTATTGTGTATATTCGAAATGACTGTTACATTTACTTAAATGGCACTTTGTTAGAGTAATTGCGTAGTGGTGAATCGACCGTCAACTTAAATATTTATAGGTTGCAAATCGAAAATGAGTCATTACTTGGCATTTAACCAGAATTCAATTTGCATTTTCAGAACATAGGAATCCAAAGTGAGTTTTACATGTTGGTCATCCAAAAAAGCGTTTGACCCCAAAGTGCGAACGAAATAAAAATATACATGGCATGGCATGATGTATTTAATAACTTGTTCTTTTTAAATAATGTTTTGAAGCATGACGTGTGTCATTAGCAAAACTATATTATTTTAGCGTGGCAACAAAATGATAAAAACAAAGTAAATCCTGAAAAAAAACTTAAAGTTTCACAGTCGCTTAACTTCTCATAAAACAAAATGCATATGTTATAAGGCATTAACATAATGATAACACTTAATTGTATCATGTTCATTTCTAGTTAAACAATTTGATGTATCTGCAGCTTAAGAGCTTCAAAAATGGCCTTTCGCTCTAGTTCATCAGCATAAAGGAACAAAATAAAACATCATGCTTCATTTTATTTCGAAAATATTAAAATGATTTCATCAAGAGACAGTGGTTTTCCTTTCTTATGAATAGCATTATAATAGTTGCAAATGCAAATATTTGTTTTAACGATGTAGTATAATTCCCCACTGTGAGGAAACGCGCAATTTTAATAGAGTTGTCACGATACACCATGCATACAACGATATTTTGCTTTATGAACAAAGGTATTATTATGATATGACATTAATTTCATTCTAACGTTAGACTTTAAATTCAACTTCTAACTAATAATCAAATAATAAAGTAATACAAATAATGACTTAAACATCTCTGTTCATTTGAGTAGCATTTTGACTACATTAGAATTAGAATGTTCTTTAATGCACAAAAATCACTGTTTTACATGTATATTGGCTATTTTTCATGTAGGGACATACGGGCCCATATCATTAAGCAGAATTTTTTCTTTAAAAAGAATAATTTATACAAAGTATCAGATTAAATATTAACTCTCACGGCTGTCACACTATCGCCTACTGTGTCGGTAGTCACATCGTATTTGGCTTCAGTTTATTAAGGGCATTTAACTACTAGTATATCAGCCAACCACCAAACGAGGGGATTATTTTGTACATTGATTTAAGAATTCACTTTATATTTATAAATTTCGCTCTCTCTCTCACTCTCTCTCTCTCTCTCTCTCTCTCTCCCCCTCTCTCTCTCTCCCCCTCTCTCTCTCTCTCTCTCTCTTCGCTCTCTGTCTATCAGATGTCAATGTTGTAAAATATGGACAACAACATACAACAGCCGACAATCGATGACTTGCATCAAAATACATTCTAGTAAAAGATTAAAGATATAACATTATTATTAAATGCTACATACATGTAAAACGTATCAACATGCTTTTCAAAATAAGTGAAGTAAAACTGCCAAAACAATGCGACGGTATTTAGAATTTCAGAAATCTACCGAAATGTATGTTCTAAAATACATATTTTGTCTTTGAAACATTGGCGTATGTATTGTGAGCTACTAATGTAACCGGAGGCTTAATTGGTTTACAGAAACGCATGATTTCGTTGACGGACACAAAACACATTATCCAAAGTGTAAATATGAAGAAGGTACTAAACAAACTTACATAACAATAGCCTTTGCTATCTAGTTTTATTATACTTCAATATATCCTTCAAAATAAAACTCCCATAGGCCATTAATGTGTTCTGATTTAATATCACCCTCCTATGATATATTCCCCGTAGGATATTTTTATATCATCCTTGGGTACGTAGCTTTTGCATAACTCCATATTCAAATGTTTAAGTTTAACTAGATTTAAAGAATTATACATGCATATTGTATTCCAACTTTATATAGAAATGTATAAAATCATTCTTGTACTGTTTTTGTTAGGTTTATTGTTTTGAGCAATATCAAATGTGTATTCTAATTTCTTTGACTGTGTACTTTATAAATATGGTGCTGTTTCTCTTTCGATATATGCTGCGCCTCTGGGTAATATACCAGTTCTTGTGTTAACAATATTTTCTATCACGCCGACAGCCATGTGTTTTTTTTTAATTAGCATAGGCCTGGAAAATAAAATCAATTCATTTTTAAATGTTCATATCACTTTAAAGCTTTTTTAAAAGATTTTTTATTCGTTGATCATAGAAATTTATACATTTAAAAATATGCAGATTTTTAAACTCGTAGTTAATATAAGGTAATTTTGTATAATGTCTTTGAAATATTTATTAAGTACTTCTCCTTTAATTGTTTTCAGGCAGAAAATAAGATATGCAAAATAGCATGTTTATCATATCAAAAGCATCCAAGTCAAACATTTTAGATAAGAGTCCGAAGGAAACACTTATTACTAATAAATATGTATAAAATTAATGTCTACATTACAAATATATGGCATTTTTAAATGAAAACTACAAAGTCAATATGAGATCATATCAATTGTATTCAGTTTTTCTGATACGAGACAAAGACATTGTTGGCGGAAAGGAACATTCTAATTTTGTATTGATTATGACATATCGATCAAGTAGTACTACGAACCCTTCGCATCTCACTGAATACACACCCACGTTACGTCAGACAGTGATCCGACATATGCGACTATGTAAATGTAACACGATTTAATGCGTATTAAATGAAAGAATTTAAACAAAATAAATGCCTTAGTACAGATGGCAGTCACCATTCGTGATTTTCTTGAGCATGATATGACATAATATACTAATAATTAGTCTAAAACTATCTGCAAGCCATGATTACAGCTCTATGGTGAAATAATCTAGTTGCAATTAAAATAAAATCAAAATAAGTGTTCGATCAGATATCAATGTGACATGTCGATATCAATTATCTAAGGAACGTTAATGCTTGCATCATATAGCACAATTGGCAAATCTATAATACAAAAGTTCATAAATCTAAACTGGTGTTAATTTATAAGCACTAGCTGTTGATGGGTATGATACATTATACAGATTAATTTATTTGAAATGTACTGGGTTGACTTTAAATATTATTTTCGTAGATGTAAGCGTTACCAAGTTTCGTTGTCAAAATGTTTGATATTTTTCAAAATCGTTATCTAAAGCCAATGACGTAAACTCTAACTAGTCATTGGCATAATTAAATACTTAAAAACATTCTAATTTAGCAATTTAGGACAAGCAGCATTGTATGTATTAATGCCATTGTGTAGATGCCACAAAATAAATTTTGCTGTTTCTACGAACTAGCCACACGGCACAATTCTATTCATGTATATATTTCAGACATGTCACATGAGAAATTTTGGAATAACAACGTAGGTCTTAAAAGGTGATCTCGTTTTGAAGACGATGTAGATGTATGTTTCAAATTAATTATTGAATATTTCATCAATATTTCATCATCATTATTTATCTGTTGATTTTGTTGGAAAAGATTAAATAGCCAATGTGTACAAACTTCTTAAACTAAGTTTGGTGTGAGGACTTGTTTTACTTTAGAATTGATCGCTTTGTTTACAAATAATTTGGGTTCTTCACAAAAAATGTTTTTGTTTAAATGCTACATGAAGTATTTATGTAACAGATAATGCATTGTCCTCTTTTCGTTAATGATGTAAGTGTACAATGTGTGAAAATAATCCTTAAATCTC